AAAAAAAATATTAAGAATCCAATGAACAAGGGATAAGTCTAAAATGAGCCATATTGTTTACAACTTATTAAACTTCTTATAATTGTTAACCATGATATTGATGACTATAACCCGAAATTTCATCAATCATAAAAATATATATAATATATTTGTAAGTATAAAAGAAATAAAAATATATGTCTTATGGAAAAATTATTCATAAGGCTCGAGTAAAAAACAATTAATATGGATACGGCACAAAAGTTATATACTTGAAAATAAAATTTACAAATCAAGCAAGTAAAAAACTAAGGCCTTGTTCCTTATTTAAACAGTTTTTTTTTTAAAAAAAAACAAAAGTAGAAAAACTTGTTTGATAATTTTTTTAGTTAAGTCTTAAAAAAAATAAAATATATTTTTAAAAATTGAAATACTAAAATAATTTTTAGTCGTTTTCTCTTTTTTTATTTGAAAAATTTGAGAAAATTTTTTCCGCTTAATAATTTTTTCTTAATTTGAAAATCTAAATTCTCATAAAAGCTTCACTCTCTGATTTCAGCATGTTCATTTTAAAATGAATTTTTTTTAGAAAAATTATGCAAACAGATTATATTTTGTTTTTCCCCCAACAATTGTTTTAAAAAACAAGTTTATAAAATTGTTTTGAGGGAAAAAAACAGAACCCAACAAGCCATTAATTTTTTTGAATTTATTAGCATTTAATTTTTTTTATCTGAGGTCTATGAATAATTTTCCGTGGTTTTAATATTATTATTTTAGATTATAGTATTATAGAGAAGTAAAAAAGGATACAAAACATTTTGCTAATTTAATTATTTAATGTTTTCGGCCCGATGGTTGGGAAAAAGTGGATAACGAGGACGACAAAATTTGTTGGCAAGGAGTGCAAGAGGATGCAATTGGCACTTAATCCGTTGTACGTGGAAATGAAAAAGACCCTCATGGGCCCCACTTTAGATTCTCTTTTACTTAATTGCGTAATAAGCCCCAGGAATTAGTTTGAGCTCTGTACTGTACACTTGAAAAATTAACTAAATCACTCTAATTAAAATTTAAGCGTCGAACGCACACTTCCCTTTTACCTTTTTTGCCCCCGGAAAAACATTTAAATCGTTTAGTCTAGACACACCGATATATTTTTTTTTTCCAACACTCCTATCTTTTAAAAGGGAAAATTGTGCAGTGTCTAATGGTTAGTCCTTTTGCCTAGATCATCTCGAATAATAAACCATACATTTTTTTTAATTGCCAATGATTAACAACACTTCTAAGATCAAGCCGAGTATTATTACATATACAAGTTTTAATTGATAAATTACGCGTATTTATACAAGTTTTATAAAGTATATATGGTTAACAAAAAACAAAACAGAACACTGATGTGCAAAAAGTGCTTTTTATAAAGTCTGCATGCACACCAATATTTTATAGGGCGGCTATATTTGACATGAGGATTAAAACTTTCATGGTTGAATCATGCTTAGTTAATGAATCAAGGATTTAATATATACATATATACGAGTATATATATATATTAAAAAACTGTTTAATGGAGGAAATTAATAGATAAAAAAATAATAATAGAGTAGGGGAGCTGGCATGATGAAATTGTTGGATGGATTTGTCATGAACATACGCAACATTGGCTGTTGGAAACGCGCATGAATAGGTTCTCCATATCATTGATTCATTATATATTTTCATAAGAAAGCAACAATTATTGTAATCTCTTCCTAATTAATTATGGCAGTGTGCAGGTTACGAATTTCCTTTGTCTGATAATTGTAATTATTTTTATATATTTCCCAAAAATATTGAACCATGATTAACATGAACATGAGAATATACTGTTAGGCTCCATATGAATCAGATTCTCTGTTTTTTTGTTGATACAAAATATTTCTTCTTTAAGCAACTGCTGGAACTCCTTTTCCCAATTATTTTTTTTCGGTGATAATTCCTTTTCCCAATTATTGTTCACTATTGTTAAGCATTAGATTAAATTATAAAGCAGACACTCTATTAATTTAAACAAGATATATATTTATTTTTCTGGGACAATTAATTCATTAGTTTTTATAGTTTTGCCTGATTTCTAACCAGGTTCTTGTTTTTTTTTTAAAATTGTGGTATTATATTTTTTCAACTGTAGCTTTGATATCTGTGCCCATAATTTATTACTCATGACTTATGTGGATGTTGATTAAGTGACATGCAAGTTGTCAGAAAATATAAAATAAAAAAGAGATTTTTTTAAAACAAAATAATGGAATAAAATTAATTTATTATCAATATAAAAAATTATTATACTTATAACCATCTCCATCTATCTACATAATATCTAATCTGGTTGAATTTTTTAATTTAAATTCACTTGACAAAATTAATTTAAATGTATATTGAGTGAAAGTCACGTTGTCTAGCTACTTACACCATATCTCTTACATATTAGCAAATCATACATATACATAATTAGGCATAATGATATTATGCGATCTATATAGTGGATCCCACTTAATAGAATAAAATTTGTTGTTGTTATTGTATATAATTAAGGAGACCTAATAGAAATAAAAACTATAAAGACTTAATTAAAAATGAGTTAAAATGATAGGATTTTGCATATTAATTTTCTGTTTTTATTAGATCATATATTTGTATATATAGATAATTAAAATATATTTTAATTTCATTTTTGGCAACAGATATTAATCATATTTAAATTAAGAAGTTTTGGCCAAAAATATTTAAATTAAAATTAATAATGTGAGAATCATCATAAACCAATGTGGTACATGTCTTTGTTTGAACAGCGACCACCCTAGTTCTTATTATAATCACTTATAAGTCACCTATAGGTATTTAATATTTATTTTTTTATTTTACCTTTATTTAAATTTTGTTAGACAAAAAAAGAAAGAGGAAAGAATGAGATGTGAAAAAAAAATTTTAAATCCAGAGAGAAAGAAAAATTTCAACAAGGGCAAATTTAAAAAAATTACTACTATCAATTTAATCTATTTTTCAACAAGTGAAAAAAATATTGCAAGTAACTTATAAAGAACTGGACTGATAGCTAACTTTTCGGATTTCGTGGAAAAGGAAGGAAATATGTTTCAATTAATATATTGTTTTGGACAGGTGGCATCTTGTAATTGGGTAGTATGAAGAATGATTTTCCAGCAAATATTGAGCAGATAGGTGACGGACCAAAGAGTCAAAAGTATACGTAGGACACATGTGGCAACTCGACTTTTTTTAAAACGAACTAATCCAAAAAAATCTAACCACCAGACAAATTCACAAAAATAATTCTTTCTTTTTGTCAGCAATTCACAAAAAAAAAATCAAGAAAAATAAAAATCCATAAAATATTATCTGTTGTTTAATTTTTAATATCTCTTGTTATTTGCATTTTCACAAATACAATTATTTTATTTTACGCCACCTCTTCCGCATTTGCTTAGCTGAAAGGAGGATCATTAGTTGTCCGTCAAACGAAGACAGATAATATGTCAAATGTAATAACGATAATATAGATCATAAATATATTTTTTAACAAAAAAAATCACGAATAATACAAATCATACAGTATTTCATAAGTTGCACGATCTTTTTTCTTTTTTAATTTTTTTTAAAGCACATAAGTCAAGTCTAATTTACAAACTGGTTCCAAACTCTTCAACAATCATGTGACCAAGGTTTTTCCTTTTTTTGGGGGGGACGAGCATGTGATCAAGTTGAAGAATCAAGATTTAGAAGAATCCAAACAAGTATTTATACAATTAATCATGGTTAATAGTTATTATGAATAAATAAAAAAAGCTATAAGAAACAATATTAGCGGGGCCTCAAAACAGCTTAATAGTAGTAGTTCATTAATGTAGAAACATGTAATTTAATTTGCAAGATTTTATTTATGTTTATTTGATGATTGATTGATAAATGATACGATGTAATTATTTTTTTATAACTCAGAGTATTGTATTTAAGGATAAGTAATGTGGATTTTATTATAGTTTCCCTCTTATCTATGGAGAGGGATAATAAAATGAACAAAATAATAACATTATATATAATTAGTTTCTTTCTTATTTGTTTAACATGGAAGGTAAAAAAAAAGGATCTGACACGGCACTTACACTGAATGCTAAGAAATACATGAACATGGATTGATAAGAAAATCATATTAGAAATAGAATAAAGGAGAAACTAGTGTTAACATATGAGGATATTAATGATACTTTAATTTTTTCCCCTTCAATGTTAATTATATATATTATAAAATACGAAGCAATTATTACTTTTAAAATTTGAAAAAAATAACAAGAAAATTTAGTTTTTTAATAAAAATGTTTTTTAAATACTCCATTATATTCTGAATATAAAGATAGTATGAATTTATTTTTATTTTAAATATAAAACTCAATTCACTTTGTTTTCTAAATTAATAATTTTTCTCAACTCTTTCTCTTAATTATACATATTAAATTTTTTTTATTAAAAAAGTCGTATCTAATAAAAATAATTAAAAACCATCGAACCTTTTTAACAAATAAATAATTTAATTAATTTTGTAATACCTAAAAATTAATTATTTAGTTTTTATGTTGAGGAGCGGAGAAAGCATCTTAAAATATAATTTTAGTCGGCTTCAAAATATTAGAATTTTGTGATTAAATCATAGTTTGGGGAATCAACTGTAATTTACTCCTATTTTTTCCTCTCAACGTTCACGGGTTATGAGGAATGTTGAATGTGAACAGGGAACAGATGGCTAGCGGCGAAAACAACCCAACAAAACATATGCCTTGAATGCACACTTCACAGAAAAGAAGTACACGAGGTCCCATTAATTGGTAAAGCCTCATCTTCCTCTTCTTCCTCCTCCCCCTCTTGAAGAGTCCCACAAAAAGCAGCGAGGAGTAGGCCCCACCACCCTCCTACCTCCCTTGAAAATGTTTATAAAGCACTCGCAGGCTTCTCACATTCTGCATTACCATTTAGCTCAAACTCCACCCATCCCCATATAGGCCACACACCGAGCACCCTATATTCTATCTCCTTCTTTTTGCTTCAATCCAAAAGGATCCAAAAAGTCTCTGCTCTACTTGTTTCTCTCTGGTCTCTTCATTCTTTTCGTCTCCTTTAAGTCTTAAATGTGCAAAGCTGAGTGAAAACAAAAGACTGGGGAAAAAAGTCCTGTGCTTTCTGAACCATATGAGGTTCCTAATGGGGAATTTGCTGAGAACAGAGTTGTCTGTGATATTGGTGTTTTTGTGTGTTCTTGCTGTGTCAGCCTCTGTGGGTTATGACCACAAAGCTATTACTATTAATGGCCAGAGAAGAATTCTGATCTCTGGTTCCATTCACTACCCCAGAAGCACCCCAGATGTAATTATCACTTATTCCGATATGCTTCTTCAAATTTCTCGTCTTCTTCTTGTTTTCTTCAGGTTTTCTCAAAGCATTATGTTTTTTATTGAATCTGCAGATGTGGCCCGGATTGATTCAGAAAGCCAAAGACGGAGGCTTGGATGTTATTCAAACTTATGTCTTCTGGAACGGACACGAGCCTTCTCCTGGAAAAGTATTACCAGTGCTTTCCTCGATTTTTCTTGTCTTCTTCCTCTCTGGTTTTTCTTTAAACTAATAATCAAAACACCACAGGGCCAAAAGAAAAAAAAAAGAAAAGAAAAGAAATAAAACATGATCACTCAGATTTTAATATTTGCATGTTTTGAATTTTCAGTATTATTTCGAGGACAGGTTCGACTTGGTTAAGTTCATCAAACTGGTGCAGCATGCTGGTCTTTACGTTCATCTCCGCATTGGTCCCTACGTCTGCGCTGAATGGAACTTGGGGTATTAATTCTTTTTTAATCAAGAGATCTATTTTTATGCTTTCATCATCGAAAAGAAAATGAATAAAACTTAGCGACTACTTGGAAAGCTCACATGCTCTGTTTCCTTACTATGTTTGAAAATTCAGGGGATTTCCGGTCTGGCTGAAATACGTTCCTGGCATTTCTTTTAGAACAGATAATGGACCTTTCAAGGTGGGATTCTTTGGGAAATTAATTTTTTACTCCGATCGATTTTTTTAATTAATTTTCAAACTTCGATCAATCATCTAAGAAAGAGTCAACTTTTGTTGCATCGAAGGCGGCAATGCAAAAATTTACTCAGAAAATTGTCAGTATGATGAAGGCAGAGCGATTGTTTCAAACTCAGGGAGGCCCAATAATATTGTCGCAGGTACAATAAATCGATTTAAATATTAATCACGTTCGTTAGAGTTTTTGTCTCTTCTTCCCCGACTTTTAATTTCTAGAAAGTTAGGTTGTCAGTCATTTACTGATTTACATTAATCTCCAAACCAGATTTTTCCTTCAACTTTTTGAAGCAATTCTTTTTAATACTAAAGCCGTAAATGTTCCGAATTGAATTTGACAGATTGAGAACGAGTACGGACCGGTGGAATGGGAAATTGGAGCTCCTGGAAAAGCTTACACTGCTTGGGCTGCCCAAATGGCTGTAGGTCAAAAAACTGGTGTTCCATGGGTCATGTGCAAGCAGGACGACGCTCCTGATCCCATTGTAAGCAACCAATCTTTTTCTCTTCTCGTTGTCATCATAATCCTCATTTTTTTCCGGTCGTTTTCATTTGCGACCCATAATTTTTGATGGGCTTTTCACTTGGTCGGTTTGCTTGGGTGGGTTTTGTTGCTTCAACTGTTTGACCCATTATTGGTTCTTTGGTTATTAAAATTTATTTATTCCTTTTGCTTTCAACTGGGAGATTCTATCTTCTCCGCCCCTCGCCGGCTTCGAGCTTTGTTCTTCCATTTTATGATTAGCGATTAGTGTACTTCGTCGTTTCTGTCAAATTTTTCTGGGAAAGTTCGAGGATTCGGTATCAACTCACCGATTTTTGGGAGAAGAACTTGTATCTTTAATCTAAGCCTCTCATAAATCTTTCTCTCCCTGATATTTGCTTTTGCGATTGGCGATAGATTAACGCTTGCAATGGATATTACTGTGAGAATTTCACTCCCAACAAGAGGTACAAGCCGAAAATGTGGACAGAGAATTGGACGGGCTGGTAAGTTATATGATTATCTTAGCTTGTTAAGTTTTGCATTTCCTCTAAGTCATAAGAGTAAGCTGTCAATCTGGGAATCCACTCCTTGTTTGCTTTTTGACTCCCTTCAGTTTTGTTTCGGTTTTTTTTTTTTGGGTACTTTTTGTGGTTGGTTCTAATTTCGAAAATCGTCTTTTGTGTTGTAGTAGTATCCTTATCTTAGGTGGTGTTATAATAGTATCCTTATCTTAAGTGGGTATCAGGACATGACTCCCTTCAGTTTTGTTTCGTTTTTTTTTTTTTTTTTGGGGTGTTTTTTGTGGTTGGTTCTAATTTCGAAAATCGTCCTTTGTGTTATAGTAGTATCCTTATCTTAAGTGGTGTTACAATAGTATCCTTATCTTGAGTGGGTATCAGGACATGCTCTCCTGCCTCCACTTCCTAATCAATTATTTTCTCTGTCTTTGCAAAACGAAGAAAAGCCACGTAATTTTAATGTGCAAAGAGTTGATACCTTTTATATGGCTCCTAAGAATTTCCTGTTGTGTAGGTATACTGAGTATGGTGCTGCAGTCCCTCGTAGACCAGCAGAAGACATTGCGTTTTCGGTTGCTAGATTCATACAAAATGGAGGCTCATTTGTTAACTACTATATGGTATGTTTTTTAGGTCCTTTGATCGCTATCATTTGTGAATATCTATTTCCCACAGTTCATATTGTAGAAACTTTGAAGTCTAATATCTACTATTTGGGTCCAGTATCATGGAGGAACTAACTTTGGCCGAACCTCAAGTGGTCTCTTCGTTGCTACAAGTTATGACTATGATGCTCCTATTGATGAATTTGGTATGAACTTAAAGTTAAAATTGAAGCATTACACAAGTAGAGCAGAGATACATTCTCACAGTTTAACTGAAACTTGATACCAGGAAGTTTAAACCAACCAAAGTGGGGGCATCTTAGAGATTTGCACAAGGCAATCAAGCAGTGTGAACCAGCTCTAGTGTCTGTGGATCCCGCTGTGACAAAGTTCGGAAGAAACCAAGAGGTATAGTCCTTAAACTTGTTGCTGAAGAGGACAAGCAGAGGTGTTCTGTGTTTCAAAAACTCATTCTTTCTCCTTATTATTATCTTAGGCCCACGTGTTCAGGACAAGATCGTCTTGTGCTGCATTCCTTGCAAATTATGATGCCAATTCCGGGGCAAAAGTGAAATTTGGAAATGGGCTATATGACTTACCACCTTGGTCTATCAGCATTCTACCTGACTGCAAAACTGTAGTTTATAACACTGCAAAGGTAAGTCACAGATGCTGGCGAAGTTAAATGCCTTGAACATGCATGTATGTATTCTATAGTTGTTTGTTTTTTGAAATTATCTGTGGTTCTGTGCAAGACTAAATATCAGAATATTTCTTACCATAACAGAATGTTCCACCTTGAGGCTTGAGCTGTTCTTGAATGACAGAAACTATTATACAGATGGCATTTTGATAAGAAATCCTGTCTTTGCTGCATTGCATGTTTTTTCTCTTTCAAGTGTGATTATTCATAGCTGCCAATTCATGCAGGTTAATGCGCCGAGGGATGAGATGTTCTTTACACCTGTGATTAAGTCATTCAAATGGCAGTCATTCAATGAACAACCTGCAGCTGCTGGTGTAGATGATTCAATGACAGCAAATGGGCTCTTGGAACAGGTTAATGTCACCCGGGATACTACTGATTATTTGTGGTATATGACCGAGTAAGTATATCTCAACAGATCATTTCTTAGAAAACTTTCATCTTTTTGGTACTTTCTATTAGTGTCCCCCCAGTAATTGATAAATATTTTACTCATTCAGTGTTAATGTTGGAGCTAATGATCTAAAGAGTGGACAGTCTCCCGTTCTCACTGTAATGTCAGCAGGCCATGCTTTGCATGTTTTTGTTAATGGTCAATATTCAGGTAAATAAAAAGATATTGCTTTACTGCTTAGTGCTTTGTTTCGACAAGGTCCATCTTGCTTATCTATCAATTGTATTAATGCAGGAACTGCTTATGGGAGTCTGGAGAGTCCTAAACTAACATTTAGTCAGGGTGTAAAGCTAAGAGTTGGCAACAACAAAATTTCTATACTCAGTGTTTCCGTTGGTCTTGCGGTTAGTTCTTTCACTTTCCTGATATTCATGTGTTCTTTGCAACAGCTTTAATATGCAGATAAATGACTCTTCTTCTTCTTCTAACTCCTTCGATATTCAATAATCCCAGAATGTTGGTGTTTTCCACTCGGTGCACTTTGAGAGCTGGAATGTTGGGGTGTTAGGCCCTGTCACGCTGAGTGGTCTAGGTAGGGGGACACGAGACTTGTCAAGACAAAAATGGTCGTACAAGGTTTGTTATCTATATTATATTTGTTCTGCATCAACAACAGAAAATTTCGTGATAATGGTTGGTGCAAATTATTAAGTTAAATAGATGTAGACCTAATAAGGAGCAAAGGTGACTTCACTATTTTAGATGCTTGAAACCAAATTGATCTGTATGTTTCATTAGTTATTTCTCATTTTAGTATATTTTTCTGCCATTTGCTGGGTCAAAAGGAAGTCGCTATAGATAATCAATCACTCATTTCTCTGTTGTTGAGTAGGTTGGCCTGAAAGGTGAATCCTTAAGACTTCATACTGAAGGTGGTAGTAACTCTGCTAGATGGGTACAAGGATCACTATTGGCCTATAAACAACCCTTGACATGGTACAAGGTAAGAATGGTTTGTGTTATCCGATATTATAAATTCTGTCTGTTATAGATCATCACCTGCATCTGCATGCATTCTGAGTCATTCTATGCTCTGGTGTATTATCAGACAACCTTCAATGCTCCACCTGGCAATGATCCCTTGGCTTTGGATATGGGTAGCATGGGAAAGGGTGAAATCTGGATCAATGGTCAGAGTATTGGACGACACTGGCCTGCATATATCGGAAAGGGCAATTGTGGCACTTGCAATTATGCTGGAACTTATACTGATAAAAAATGCCGAAAATATTGTGGAACGTCCTCCCAGAGATGGTAAGAACTACGACTCACATCACAAAATGTAGGTGTATTTATGTGTTCTGCTATTAAATGATGTCATAAATTTTCAGGTATCATGTTCCTCGCTCATGGCTGAAGCCAAGTGGGAATTCTTTGGTTGTGTTTGAAGAACTGGGAGGTGACACAACCTGGATTGCTTTAATGAAAGAAACAAGGCGCTAGATTACAAGATGAAGGTGGTGCAACTGTGCAACTATAGAGTTTGTTGAGTTCATCGTTATACTACTATGTTTTCTTCTGTTAGTTGATCGAAAAAAGAAATCTGTGAAAAAGGGTGTGTACATAGTGATAGGCATGCTGTTCTACTATATACTGTTCCACATATTGTGGGGCTTGTAGTGATTGTAGAATTGAGTCCTCACACACATTGCTGTGAAAGGAGATAGCTGGACGTGCATAAGGAGCCAAAGACGTCTCCATTCCACAAGGAAAAGCAGTCTGTTTCTTTGTTTTTCTTCCTGGCATGATTGTATGTAATAAGAATGTTCAAAGTAATAAATAGTTGCTTCCAAGTTTTCGATACCATTTTCTAAGTTTGATATTATCCTATTACTACATTGTTATGATCACAACGAGCAACTGGAATCACGTGTATTATTTAATGAAAAGTCGTAACTAAAGCTCTCATCATATATAAGCTTTGCTGAGAAGCATGGATCACTCTAGACACACAGGAGAAGAAAGATAAAGGAAGATGAAGATAAACTTTGAGGGATGAAGAAATAGATTCCCTGGGAGAGATGAGAATTAGCAGAGGAAAACAGAAGAGAAGTCCCAGGGCAGAGCAGAGAAATCAGAGAAAAATCTTCACATGATTTTTCATTGCCTCCACTTCACGGGAACCTTCTTCCTCCATTGTATTGTATTGCCCTACCTTTCCTAAGCTCAGTTATCACATTTTTTGGCCCATTAGTGTAAGCCTCAGTCCCAGCCCATATCATTATTAAGCCCATTCATTACATCAACATTTCCTTGATCATTTTCTCGAATGTGCATCAATTTTTCTAAACCTTGCTTTGGGGTCTATCATATTCCTTAATCCTTACCGTAAGATATTTTATTCTTTAGTTAACGGGAAATTTGAGTAACAGAAAATTGAAATCACAGAGCATTGTTGGAAGAAAGAAATTGTATTGATGGGAGGATAGTCATCACTAGCTAAAGAGTCCTCGGGAGCGTGAGTAGAATATGTTCAGAAAAGTGTTATGCCTACTAACACGCTCTTTAATAACTATAACCATCAAAGGTTATTAGTTGATTAAACAATTAATTAATTATTTTAGATCTAGACTCAATTAAACAGATTGAAGGCCACATACATAAGATATTTTATTATTTAATTAGAATATGAAAATACAACAGAATAACTAATATAACTTGCCACTTGCTAGCTAGTGTGCACGTCCCATTTTATAACCAAAGGGATGGGCACAAGTACGTAGCTCCCTTGTAGACCTGTACAGTTTTTTTCTTAAATAATTATGGAGGATATAAAATAATATCAATATCATAACTACCCACTTATAAAAATATTATTGGCCAAAAATAAAAATAAAATAAGATTCATTGGGTCATATCCAAATCTCATGTATATGTTCCAATACAATCAATGAAATTAATCTCGATGTTTGACATTTTCGTGTATGATATAGACAATTTGTGAACAGTATATATTTACAATAAGTTTTATACTACCTCCGGTCTTTAATATAAGATCTTGTTTGACTTTTATTTTGATCCTAAATATAAGATCCTAATCCACTTTGTTTCTCATATTTATATATTTTTTCCTAATGTATTTCTTTTAATAATGGTAGTTCTAGCCAATACACTTGATTAGCAATGATATTTTAGAAAAGACAACACTTATTTATTACAAATAACTAACTTTTTTTTTTTAATCTTCTCAAATTAGTCAACTAACTCTTATAATTAAGACTGGAAGTAATATCTTTTATGTCGAGTGCTATAAAACATCAAATACATAGTCGACAAATATAACACAGTCATATCAACATTTAGCATAACATATGATAGATTGCACTCTTAACACGTAATAAATAACACAGAAAGCAAATATAACAATTTAGTCACTAAAAATGATTCTAATAGGAGATCCTAGCATCATGTTTAAGAGCTCGTGGTCGTCATATTTTCAATGCAGTATTTTCTTTTGTATATTTTTATATCCAAGTAATAGATGTGTATATTCATGTAAAACATAAATTAATTAATTTGAATGTAAAAAAAAAAAAAAACACGAGTCTAACGGACGCATGAATTTCTCGCGTAAAACAAGGTTTATCAGTGAATATGTCTTAAAGTAAAACTTGCTGTTTCTCACAAAGCAAATCATATTGAGTTGTACGTACTTGTTGCTTACACTCTTCAAAATGTTTCTGCATCTGCATAACCATATTTAGCTCTCTCTCTCTCTCTCTCTCTCTCTATATATATATATATATATATATAAGAAAGCTGAGTAAAGAAACAATAAGAATGAGGAATTTGTTAAGGATAGAGTTGGTGTGTGTGATAGTGTTGTTTTTCTGGGTTTTTTCTGTGTCAGCCACTGTCACCTATGACCACAAATCTCTGCTCATCAATGGCCAGAGAAGGATTCTCTTCTCTGGGGCCATTCACTACCCCAGAAGCACCCCTGATGTAAGCAGTGTGTGTGTGTGTGTGCACATATATATGAATTGGATTTTGTTATGGTTTTTATATAATTGAAAGGAAATGGTTGAAATTCTGCAGATGTGGCCAGGGTTGATACAGAAAGCCAAAGAGGGAGGCCTGGATGCTGTTGAAACCTATGTGTTTTGGAATGGACACGAACCTCTTCCTGGAAAAGTATTGTTATTTGTTAATTATTGTATTTGTCTTCATCAAAAGATCAAGGGGGAGAAAAAACAAGGAATTTCGATAGAATTAATGTTGTGTTGTATGGTATTGAATTTGCAGTATTATTTTGAGGACAGGTTCGACTTGGTTAAGTTCCTGAAGTTGGTGCATGAGGCCGGCCTTTACGTTATACTCCGCATTGGTCCCTTCGTTTGTGCGGAATGGAATTTCGGGTATTCATTCTTAAACGTTCTCTCTCTATTTATTGTATGAAGTAATTGGACGATTTATGGCTTTTAAATATGGTATGATTCTTTTTTTTTTTTTAATAAATTTCAGTACACACACATACATATAAAATATTTAGATGGATATATATATATATATATATATATATCTATGTGTGCTTATGTATATGTGTATGAAGCTGTATCTAACATTCACTAATGGAAAGGACAAGCACTCGTATAAAAATTGAAATTAATGATGGATAAATTCATCACTAAATATGTAATGTTTAGCAAAAAAGTGACCACATCCAGTCAACGAGGATCACCACTTTTTTTTTTTAATTTTTTTTAAACACAATTTAAAATCCTGTTCCCCTGTATGAACGAGGCCCACACACCCACCTGCCCTTATTTCTATCATCAATACTTATGATTAGCGACAGAATAAAAATTCATTATTAAAAATTCTTCCAATAAAATTTAAGAAACCATCATCAACCCCTGCATCTTAGTTAAGGTGATGACAGATCAAAATTTTTGGAATGAAAATGAGATTGTATTTCATATCAGCTATGTAAGATTAGCTCAAATAATAAACGTGAGTTGAAATTTAGATAAAGATCTATAATCCACACTTTTTTAATGTAGTAAAAAATTATGCTTTATATTGAATGTTGATATTGATAAATATGTATTGTACACAAACCAAAGTTTCAAAGATGATAGATAATACCATGAGTGTTAAAAAAAAAGATGATAATACTGTGTTTGGATGAATATTCAGGGGATTTCCTGTTTGGTTGAAATATGTTCCGGGAATTTCTTTCAGAACAGACAATGAGCCATTTAAGGTTAGCTTAATTTAATTTTCTTTAATTAATGTGAAATTAAGAACAAATAAACATCTAAAAAGGGTGAATTTGCATGTGGTGATGAAGGCGGCAATGCAAAATTTTACAGAGTATATTGTCAACATGATGAAGACTGAGAAATTGTTTGAACCTCAGGGAGGACCTATCATTTTGGCTCAGGTAATTACAACCACCATGTTTTTAAAATTCCACATTTCACTAGTTTTATCTCATATATATGCTCCAAATTTACTATAAGGATTGTAGAGAGAATTCCATTGCATTGCATGTGGAATGGAATGGAATGCTGATTATGGCAAAATGAACTCTTTAAAACCAAACATAACAAACAAGTGAATTTCTTTATCTGCTGTGGTCATTATCATCATCAACTAAGCATGGCATAAGAGAATAGAGATCTTTGTTCAATGAAAACGACAGATAGAGAACGAGTACGGACCAGTGGAATGGGAACTTGGGGCACCTGGCAAAGCTTACGCCAATTGGGCTGCTAAAATGGCTGTGGGACTTGACATTGGTGTGCCCTGGGTGATGTGCAAGCACGACGACCCTCCTGATCCCATTGTACGTATCTAACACTATCTTCCTCTTTTTCCTCCAAATTTATTGCAATCCTCATCTCTTTCTGACCTTTAATTTTCTTAACTGGCCCTAGATTAATACTTGCAATGGCTACTACTGTGAGGGCTTCACTCCCAACCAAGTGTACAAACCCAAAATCTGGACTGAGAATTGGAGTGCCTGGTATGCCTATATAGTTCTTTTTAACTCCTTATCTTTTTGTATTTTTGTCTGGTTCTCATGTTTATGATCATACCCTTATCTCTTCTTGTATCATCAGGCACTATCCTATCTTCATTTGTCAATTAATTTATAATACATACATTTTATCCGGATCCTTGTTTAGTGTGGATTTCTTGTCCCATAGGCTCACTGAGTATGGAGCTGGAGTCCCTAAAAGACCAGCAGAAGACATGGCATATGCAGTTGCCAGATTCATACAAAATGGAGGCTCAGTTGTTAATTACTATATGGTAGTTTTTGTTTTTTTTTTGGGGTCCTTTTTAATGATTTTCATTGTGTTATTTTTAATTCTCCTATTCATGTTGTGGAAAACTCTTGTTTAGGCCTAATATCTCATTTTTGTGCCCAGTTCCATGGAGGAACTAACTTTGGCCGGACGTCTGGCCTCTTCGTTACAACAAGCTATGACTATGATGCTTTTGTTGATGAATTTGGTACGCACATGAAGTTAAAATTGTTTAAGTTTTGGTTGATGATATACTTTAAACTCTTTACAAGAAATCCTTGGCACTAGGGGAGATGCAATACACACACACACACACACTAGGCAATTTGCAGATATTCCATTGAATTTTACACAGGTGAAGTAGAGATTTGTTGTCACATTAATCTGAAGCTTGTTAAACTTACCAGGACTTCTAAACCAACCTAAATGGGGGCATATGAAGGATTTGCATCAAGCAATAAAGCAATGTGAATCAGCTTTATTGTCTGTAGATCCCGAAGAGACTTGGTTTGGAAAATACCTGGAGGTACGGTTCTTAAATCCGTTCCTGAAGAAAAACAGGGAAAGTGCCTTGTGTTTTGGAATTCATTTGGTTCTCCTTTTGATTACTATCTTAGGTTCGTGTGTTCAAGGCAAACTCTAGTTGTGCTGCTTTCCTCGGAAATTATGATCCCCAAACATGGGGAAAGGTGACATTTGGCAATGCCCAATATGACCTGCCACCCTGGTCTGTTAGCATTCTGCCTGATTGCAAAACCGTCGCTTTCAATACTGCAAAGGTGAGATAGGATGGCTGGCAACTTAGAATATTTTAAACATGCATGGACATGATCTATAATGGCATGTTTGGTGAAATTATCTGTGCAACTAAGGGTCACATTTATTTCTTTCAGTAACAAGAATTTACCTTCTTTTGAGTCTTGACTTATTTTTTAATGACAGATGGTATTATACAGATAGTGTTTTGATATGAAATTCTCTTTATTGCACTGACCTTCCCTGATTGTGATTTCATACAGGTTAGTGCACCAAGCACTGATATGACGTTTACACCTGTAATTAAAGCATTTTCATGGCAGTCATACAGCGAACTACCCGGGTCTCCCGGTGCAGGCGAGACGTTTTCAAAGAATGAACTTGTTGAGCAGGTTAATACCACGTGGGATTCTACAGATTACTTGTGGTATATGACAGAGTAAGTATATCTCAACACATAATTTCATGGTAAAATTTCATCTTCTTGATAATTTTCATTAGCCTCATCTCCATCTAAATGATATTTACATTACAATTTCAGTATCACTATCGGAGGTAATGATCTGAAGAATGGACAATCTGCCAATCTCACTGTAATGTCAGCAGGCCATGCTTTGCATGTTTTCATTAATGGTCAATATTCAGGTAAATAAAGATAATATTGTTTTCTGCTTTCTATGTTGCTACACCGAAGTCCATATTTCCTTATATATACATACATCTATCAATTTAGGAACTGCGTATGGGAGTTTAGGAAACTCTAAATTTACATTTAGTCAGGAGGTAAAGCTGAATGTTGGCAGTAACAAAGTTGCTTTGCTTAGTGTTTCTGTGGGCCTACCGGTTAGTTCTCTCAATTTTTGATATTTATTTGTTCTTAATACCAGTTTTAGCATGCAGATAAATGGATTTTTAACTCCTTTTTCATTCATTAAAAAACCAGAATATCGGTGTTTTTCATTCTGTGCACTTCGAGACCTGGAATGTTGGGTTGTTAGGTCCAGTCACGCTGAGTGGTCTAAGTGAAGGGACAAGAGATTTGTCAAAACAAGAATGGTATTACAAGGTTTGTTACCTATGTTATATTCGTTCTGGAGCAGCAATGAAAAATTGTGACAGAGATTGGCGTAAACTACAAAGATAAATAGAGACATACTAATGGAGGAGCATTGATATAGTAACATAAACACTTTGGAAGCATTAAAGCAAACTGAACACTACCTCTAGTCCTTAACATTTAAGCTAAATAACTAATTTAGAGATATTAAAAAGATTAGTTAAATTAATTATTTGTAACAAGAGTCTTAGTTTTCCTAAACTTCCCTATTTAATTATGTACATTGGAAATTCCCCTTAATCGGGAGCCTCCTTAATAAGTACAATCAATAAGAATACTTTGTTCAAAAAATTATAAATTTGGAAGGCAAAGCAAACTGAGGTTTTATATCTAAGAACAAAGTGAACCCCTTGCCTAACTTCTATTTTTAGGACCAGAGGTGGTATTCTGTTATAGTTGGTCACATTGAACAATCTACATAGCAATGTGTTCTTTTATATTTCGCCGTTGCTTCTGTTGATCAGATTGGCCTGAGAGGTGAAATCTCACCCATTTATACTGAGAGCGGTAGTACCTCTGTTAAATGGGCAGAAGGTCCAGAATTGGCCAATAAAAGAGCCTTGACATGGTACAAGGTAAGGATGATCTCTGTAATCCAATTCTATAAATCCAACCTATTACATATGGTCCTAACATTCGCACTTATTCTGAATAATTTTATGCCTTGGTATTACCAGACTACCTTTGACGAACCGGCAGGTACCGATCCATTGGCTTTGGATATGCTTAGCATGGGGAAAGGTCAGATATGGATAAATGGTCAGAACATTGGACGGCACTGGCCAGCATATATAGCAAAGGGTAATTGTGTTGACAAGTGCAATTATGCTGGAACTTATACTGATACAAAATGTCGACTTTATTGTGGATCACCCTCACAAAGATGGTAAGAACTACAAAATTTTATTGCAACAGTAAAAGGCACTATAATTTATACATGATTTCCTATTAACACTGTAAATTTTCAGGTTTCATGTCCCTCGTGGATGGCTAAAGCCAACTGGGAATCTCTTAGTTGTATTTGAAGAAATGGGAGGTGACATTGGCTATATCGCTCTAGCCAAAGAAACAAGGTAGTAGATTACAAAATGAAGATGATGCAAGTATGGAATATGTTGAATTTATCGTTATACTGTGTTTATAGAGAGATCGTCAAAAAAAGTAGATATAGTATTCCACTGTTTACTGCTTCATACAGTTTTGGAACCTGTAGTAATTGTAGGATTGAGTCCTTGTGCATTGGTATGAATGGTGATAGTGGAACATGCTGGGGGAGATTAAAATTATTACATTTTTGCAAGAAAGCAATTTCATCTTCTTCTTTTTTTCTTGTTTGATTTTATGTAATAAGAATGTTGTGATAAGAAGTTGGTTCAGAGTTCTAAGCTTGTTGATATACTTGAGCAAGGTATATTTCTGAATTCCAAGCACTTTAGACAGTAAGTGGAAGCAGATTCAATTATCAAGCAGGAAGAAAGAAGCAAGTAAGAATAAAGGAGGTAGCACTAGAAAGGAAAATGGATAGCAGATAAACTGGATCAAGAAGAAATTAGAAAGTCATTAATTCATCATATAATCTATACTGTGGGCAGTATTAACACATGCATTTGAGACAACCCTAGGTCATAACTGATGAATATGACATTGGAATCTGGATTAGGCTCAGGTCTTAAAAATTTCAATTCCTCTAATATAATTTTGGAAAGAAACTTGGGTTATTACTGCCCACAAAAAATTGGAGAAAAACTTCCACCCGATTCAATTAAAGCTGATGATTGAAACATAAGATGTGACCTTTAATCTCAAAAGCTACATTTTCACTTGAGCGCGTATAAATTTTCATTTGATAGCCCAATTTTAATTTGAACCAGTATGATACTTGACTTGATAACAAGATATGGTTTGCTCAGAGGAAAAAAAAGATAACAAATAGGAACTCTAAAATTTTTGTATAGTTTGCTAGTTTGACACAGCCAAGATTTGTTCAGTAGTATATGTTTTCAAATTAAGGTGAATTTGAAAATTAATACGAACAAACATCACCTAAAAATCCACTGGCGTTTCAGTTTCCTCTCTCCTCAAAAGCCAAAAGAACAATTATACTTAATCTCCCTAAAATCACCAAAAACCTACTTTTTGTTGTTTAGTTACTGATTAATCTTACATCATATAAGAACCCTCGGCTGATAAAAATTCCAATGGTCTTCCTGTTAATCCAGGAGTAGCGAATCAATTACTATCTCCAATCCTTCATATAAGATTTAGTTTGCAGTTGAATTGCACATTAGATTTTATATTAAGGACCAGAGGTAGTACGCTCAAATCTCACCTCCTTTTTTCTCCTCAAAGGAAAAAAGAATGCTGAATGCATCTAACAATTGAGCGAGAGAGAGAGAGAGAGAGTCCTCGCCTTCCAATAAACTTCAAACACCACACAAAAGCATCCACCTCTTCCCCAACAAAACATAAAGAGAACAAAAGTAAAGAACCACTTTGTTTCATATTTCTCCCCCATTATATAAAGTATTAGCTTAACATTGTTTGGATCCATGTCTTCCAAAACAAGAGATTCCAACACTGTCCTTCTCAAGCTCTATCAAGCACATGTCCAGCTAAAAAACAATTGTGCTTTGGTTGCTCTGCTCCCAGCACCGTGAAAGCGATTGTGGGCCTGTGATAGCTAAGTTAGTTTTTTCTGTGAAAAAAAAAAGTTTGAGCAAGCTGAACTTTAAAAATTCACTAAAGTTAAGGCAGAAGCAGCCTTCATAATGAAAGAATGATTATAAAAGTACTTAAAGATTTTTTTTTTTTTAAAGCAATGGGGTCTTCAATCAATAGTGAAATTAAAACATATGCTTTTATAAGGTATGAGTTTAGTTCTTACCAATTAAATCAACGTTGGCAAGTTAGTTTTACCATTTACAAGGAATCAATGCAAGTTCATAAAAATATGTGCCAAAGAATTCCATCACTCAAAAAACAATTACTGTAATGAACCAATATTTTAGGGATTTGGGAAACATTAAAGCAGCCTATCTATGAGTCTAAGACTATTACTACATCTCTAGATTCCACCTCTCAGGATTTAAGCAATATGCTAGTTGTTATTTCTTTATGAATATCTCTACCAGGGTTTTCCTAAAGCCAATTTCCTATCCCCAATGTGATGACTTACTTAAATCTGTCATCTTCCTACTAGTCCCTATTGGCTCTTTCAGTTTTGAAAAAAAGTTATTCTCTTTTGATTTATAGGAGTAAAGGAAGATATAGATACATCTCTTGATCTTCTATCATCAAACTTTTAATATAAGATATGTAGAAAAGGAAAAGTAGGATCATTATGATAAAGAAGTTGGACACATGAAGTTAAAGAAATATTTGTCCAAAGGTGAAGGTGAAAGGAATCATAATACTTAAGAAACAACTATTACAGTAAACCCAATTGAATAAACAGAAAATCAATGATAACCCTGAAACAAAGAGACCGTATCTTTTTTTAATGCAAATTTTCAACCAAAGTAATGAGGATTTTGATGAAATGGGCTGATTATGAAATGGATACAGTCTGATTTATGACATGACAACATATTTTCAAGCATGAAAATCCCAATCGTGCTAGATTATGTTATAGGGTGATCAGATGTAAATAGGTTTTGAGCTAAATGCAAGTTTTTCACCTTTTTCCCAAAAAAAAAAATAACAACAGAAAAGCAGTAGACAATGGATTTGAAAAAAATAAAGAGATAAAGAGAAAAACCAGAGAGATTTATGCCTTTAACATCCATTTCATTGAGAGAAGAGACCCACGATGTGATTCACATTTCATAGTTCATTTCGTGTTGATGTTTTCTGATTTCAGATGGTGCATATGAATCATTTGGATTTCTGATAAGTACGTGACGTGAGTGAAAAAAAACAACAAACATCATTTTATTTTGGCTCAATGAGAAGCAAATTACGTGGACAAATAAACCCCAACTTAAGCAAGCAAACAGACAGCTCCTAACAACGTCAAAAAAACAAAAAACAAAAATCTGTCCAATTTGCACGTGTCGTCAATTCAATGGTCCTACCAGGAAACTTTCACCAAATCAAAGGGGCAAAGAAAAAACGTAAAAGCTTGACAAGGCTTGTGTGGCATAAACTATATTATCTGAAATTCTGAACTTGAAAGATTACGATCTCATTGATGTGAACAGTTTTTCAAATTCAAAGATTATTGGGGATGTCAACTTGGTTTCAACAAAAGAAATCACAGATTTTTGTGGGCAATTATTACGTAGAGCATTGTTATTGGAGGTTGGCCATATACCACAATAACAATAATTAGAGGCAAAAAGGCCATGTTTGAGCAATTAACATGTTGGATTAAACAATTTTGAGTGGGGTAGGGGAACGTAAATTCTCGTTTGTTCGCTTATGTATCAGACAAAAACTAGGTGACAGATTGGTCTATGATATGCAATCATCAAAGAGTGATTGAAGCCCACGAGTGGCATAAAGAGACAACATGTGGGCCTTCCTTGTTCCTTTCTTTTCATTTCTTTTTTCTTTTTTTAAATTTCCTCCTTTTCTTTTAAACTATGATTAAGCAAAGGGGAACTTGAGATAGGGAACAGATCAGAGATCTTGGGAAATCTCACAATAATGGGGTCACTTTGTACATATCTTGATTTGACCACACAAAAGGACACCCTAAACACTCACAAGCACAAGCATAAATAATTCTTAGCAGAAACAGAGGATCTCTAGCTCCAAGGCCAAAACTTGATGTGGTCAGTGAATTGAGATCCACAAGATCCTTCACAGAAGGACCTGATGTTTTATGCATAATACCCAAACTATGAACATGGCATGAAAAAGAAGTGAAGTCAGTAATTTCTATGATATGGGTCCACTTTGAGAGTAATCACAGCTATTGATCGAGCTAGTTTTACAATGGGTAGTACATTATCAGATGGATCGGATTAGACATAAAAACACGACAATGAGATAGGAAGACAAAAGTATCTTGTAACAGTTGTGGACAGTCTATATAAGCGTCTCTAGTGTGGATTTGCTTTGTATAGAAATCTAAATGGGTACAACAATTAAGGTAGGCCAGTTTTGTTTTGTAAGAGAGCTATGTCTGAGTGTATACACGTACACAGGAAGGAATGGGCCCTGTCATTTCTGTGAATCCTGACCAAGTGAAGTGAGCTTCTGCACAAAAGATCACTGCAATCATATGGCCATAAGCATCTCCGATTCTGTCTCATTGTTGAGGACAACTTGGACTGACTGACACCTACTGCTTATGGGGGGGGGGGGACGACCTGCCACGTGGGACCCTCCTATGGGTGCCTCCTCCTACCCTCATGTGCATAATCTATAATTTAGCCAGCTCATTCATTGTCCCAGTTTCTCATAGGTCTTATCTCACTCACACAAACCAAACTTCGAAGGCAATCAGTTTGTCATCATTGAATCTAACGGTATGGGGAAATAATTATAAGGGTCAATCTGTTGTCCTGTTTAGGACTTAAAATCAATTTATAAAAGATAACATCAGTTGGTTTACTCGATACGAGGCTTTTCCTATAGCTTTGAATCTCTATTATCTCAATAAGCCTTGTCTTTATTCTGATATTTCCCTCACTCGATGCTAAAACATAAGTATCTCTTGATCAATAATATTTGAGACGATCAATTTATATAGCTTCTTCTATGCATTTTTACATTAAGTACTTGGATTACTTTGGAGTTTTTTTGCTAAGAAATAACACATAAACGAAGACTCTGCAAGTGATAAGCCATAGTTGAGAAGAGAAGAGTCTGATGATGAAGAGATTAAGAAGCCACGCTGGAAAGAGCCGAGTTTAGCGGATCCTGTCCATTGAAAGAAGTAAAACACACAAACAGAGTAGCATCCAAAGCTTCCTGGCCCGATATAAGATTCTGTGTACCAATAAAAATATTATCTTATTCCTCTACAAGATTAATAAGAAAGAAATGAAAATGAACCATGCTCACGAATGAAGAGAAAGTAATGTGGATTAAAAAAAATAACTTCTTGCAGTACATTAACCCATCTCTCT